GCTTGAGCAGGGAGGTTGGACCAGATGATCCACTGTGGTTGCTTCTAACCCTATCCATTCTCTGATTATTTACTTTTTTTTTTTCTTTTTTTAATAATAACTTGTAGAGCTTCCAGCTCCCTGAATGTATAAGGTGTTGTGGACATTGTGGAAACTTTAAGTTGTAGTATACAGCAAGGCAAGGCTTGACAGGATGTACGCGGTGTCGTTGACCAGTAGTACAACCACACTGTGAACAATGGCACAACCTCACCACCTGTTGCCATCAATTAGCGATTACTTACTTGGCTGGCACTTGAGAAAGAAAAGGAGACTTGATGTCTGCCCTCAAGACCTCACACAGGGAGCTCACTACTACAACACAGGCAAGTTCTGCCAAGGTTTCTCCCATGGTCCATGAGTAAGGCACAGAGCAGGCTGGGTGCACTGTCTTCTGCCTACATATATTAACAACAGTGTTGGTCCTCAATGAGGTGGCAGACTGGCCTAGAGAGAGGATGGGGCAGACACTTCTCTGAGTTTGGAGTTGAAGGGAGAAGAGGGTGAAGGAGTGGGACAGGCAACTGTTGAAACAAAATGCTGCGATAAGATTGAGAAGATACCAGATAAATATGCTCCCTCTTGGGAGGGGGAAAGGCAAGAAGGAAAGTGTGCACATACTTAAAGGGATAAAGGTTAGAATTACATACTAAAATTTCTTATACATAAGGTCAGATGTAGAGAAATTGAAAGTATTTAACATGATATTAACATGAAAACAGAGAGATCACAGCATAGATTGCCAGGACTGTTACCATCCTGACCTCTCACTCTGAAGTACTAATCATGGGTATTCTACTCCTCATAAAGCTCTCCATAGCCAACTCTATTGCTACTGGACATTAAAGCCAGGCCAAAATAGCAGTGGGCAGGGAAGACCAGTCTGGCTGAAGAGAGATCTTTGGCTTGAACTCAGGATAAAAATGAGAATGTGCGACCTTTGGAAGAAGGGGCAGGCACCTTGGTGGGATTGTAAAGGTAACGTAAGGTTAGGTAGAGAGAAAATTAGAAGGGCTAAAGCCCAATGACAACTTAATGTGGCTACTGCCATAAAAAACAATAAAAAATGTTTCTATAAATACATCAGAAACAAAAGCAGGGCCAAGGAGAATCCCAGTCCTTTATTGGATGCTGGGGGGGAAACATAGTGACAAAGGATGAGGAAAAGGTTGAGGTACTTAATGCCTTCTTTGCCTCGGTCTTTAATAGTAAGACCTGTTCTCCAGGTACTCAGCCCCCCTGAGCTGGGAGACAGAGGCGAGGAGCAGAATGAAGTCCCCATATCCCAAGAGGAAATGGTCAGAGACTTGCTACACCACTTAGACACACGTAGGTCTATGGAGTCAGAGGAGATCCACTCAAGGATCTGAGGGAGCTGGTGGAAGTGCTCACCGAGCCACTTTCCATCATTTATCAGCAGTCCTGGCTATCTCAGATCCTAGTTGACTCCAGGTCCCAGTTGACTGCAGGTTAGGATTTCTGATTTCCATCTACAAGAAGGGCCAGAAAGAGGATCCGGAGAACTACAGGCCTGTCAGCCTGACTTCTTGAGTGCCATCACACGGCATGTACAGGACAATCAGGAGATCAGGCCCAGTCAGTGTGGGTTTAGGAAAGGCCAGTCCTTCTTGACTAACTTGAGCTCCTGAGCTCCTTCCACCTACTAAGTGGATGAGGAAAAGGGTGTGGATATTGTCTACCCGGACCTTGATAAAGCCTTTGGCACTGTTTCCCACAGCATTATCCTGAAGGAACTGTCTTCCCATGGCTTAGATGGGCATACTCTTCACTGGGTAGAAATCTGGCTGGATGGCCAGTCACTGAGAGTGGTGGGGAATGGTGCTACATTCAGTTGGCAGCTGGTCACCAGTGGTGTTTCCCAGGGCTCAGTATTGGAGCCTGTCCCGTTCATTATCAATGATCTGGATGAGGGGATCAAGTGCACCCTCAGTCAGTTCACAGACAACACCAAGCTGGGTGGGAGTGTTGATCTGCTGGAGGGTAGGAAAGGTCTGCAGAGGGATCTGGACAGGCTGGATCAGTAGGCTGATTAGGACAATGGCATGAGGCTCAACAAGGTAAAGTGCTGGGTCCTGCACTTGGGGCACACTGACCCCATGCAGAACTACAGGCTTGGGGCAGAGTGGTTGGAACGTTGCCCAGTGGAAAAGGACCTGGAGGTGCTGGTTGACTAGGGAAATCCCTGTACTAGTGAGACCACACCTCAAATCCTGCATTCAGTTTTGGTCCCCTCAGGACAAGAAGGACATTGACATGCTAAAGTGAGTCCAGAGAAGGGCAATGGAGCTGGTAAAGGGCCTGGAGCTCAAGTCTTATGAGGAACAACTGAGGAAGCTAAGGGTGTTTAGCCTGGAGAAAAGGAGGCTCAGAGGAGACCTTATCACTCTCTACAACTACCTGACAGGAGGTGGTAGCAAGGTAGGAGTTGTTCTCTTCTCCCAAGTAACAAGTGACAGGACAAGAGGAAATGGCCTCACAATGTGCCAGGGGAGGCTTACACTGAATATTAGAAACAATCTATTCACTGAAGGGGTAGTGAAGCACTGGAACAGACTATCCAAGGAAGTGGTTGAGTCACCATTCCTGGAGGTATTTAAAAGGCATATGGATGTGGCATTTTGGGACATGGTTTAGTATTGGACTTGGTAGTGCTGGGTTAACAGCTGGACTGCAACGATCTTAGAGGTCTTTTCCAATCTAGTCCATTCTACAACTCTACAATTTTTATAAAATTGAACACTTTTAGTTTAGAGCAGGAAAAGTGCCTTGGATGAAACCTTTGGAAGCATAGATGACATTTTGGATGAACCAGTATTGCACCTGTTATTACTTCTCCACCTGGAGTCTACTGTTATCCACAACTACTATGTTCATTCCTTTTATTACTATATTTTTCTTCTCATTTAAAACAAACTACATGATTTTAGCCAGTTTTACTGCCATTGAGCATTAAACTGCATATGTACAAATGGACAGACCCAATGTTGTTAGGTTATTTTAGTGAAACAACTTCAAATAACAAATATAATGTACTAAAATTCATCTTTCTAGGATTTACCCTTCATTTTGCTGGTGTTATTCAACCAAATCTGTCACTGGCTTCATCTGAACTTGGCTTGATTAAAATTTACTCTATAAACTTTACTGCAGCTGATTCTGTTAAATCTCTGTTCCCCAGCCATTTCCTTGCATCAGGACTATCAAGGACCAAAAAAAGAGAATCTATTCAAAAATATAAAAGAAGGGCTTATTTTTACGTATTTCACAGTTATGTAAATGTGAAAAATTCCTCTGCTATTCTGATGTTAAAGGATTAATATTTTTTAATTGACTGTATTTTTTATTTTAATGTATCAAAAATAAAACCCTGTAGCTTAATTCTCACAATAAATCTTGCACTTCTAACAGAGTTTAAAACATCATTATCAAACTGAATCCTAAATGAGCTGTGCTAACCTACATTTCCATGCTATTGCCCTTTCATTTTAAATACCTTTTGTATGTTAAGAATATTTTCAATTTTCTGTTTAAAAGAATCAGAGAAGGCACTTACATCACTGAAATAACAATTTCAGGTGCAATTTAAGCAAGCAGTATAGGATAAAGCAAATAACTAGAGCCTCAGTGAGTTTTATTATACAAATCACTAATTCAGACCTTTAGGGTAAAAAAAGCTCATTTGTTCATCAAGAAGTTAATCCAGTTTGTTCCCTAACTGGGAAATAGCTTTCCCTGCTTTTTTTTTTTTGTATGGGTATGCTATTCATTAACGAAACAAAAAAATCTTACCCAGGACTTCATATCTATTACGTAAGCAAACATTACACTTTGATGCAAAAATTTACATTGTTTACAGAATCATCTGAATTTCACATTCACATTACTACCTAGGAGACAAAAGAAATTTCTTTCACGCTGCCATGTTCGCTACTGTTTTCTTTGACTTTTTAAAACTAATTTGTCCTTTATATCAAAATCTCAAATCCAAATGCCACACATAGCAAGAACAGTAATTTTTTTTCTGTTTAAATTAGGCTCAGTAAAGTTCTGCAAAGTCACACCAATGGATGAGGAAAAACTTTTTTCCATTCAAAGTAAACTCTCAAATAGTCTGTTTTCTCATTATATGAATACTATTCTAAGCATATATCATATCCTCCCACAAAATTAACACTAAAAATTGAATTAAAGAAAGATTCTTCAAGGTAAAGGAAAAAATAGCATTGGAAGAGGAAAACACAACACAAAATCCCAAAATAACCACAAAAAGAATTTTTCTGAAATTCTACTGATAGTACTGAAAAAGCACTTCAGCACACACCTTGTAAACCAGCCTGTAAAGTGGTACTAGCAGACTGATAAGCCTACTACTTCATCCACCCTAGAGAATGACCCCATCTAATGATTCAAAAATAAAAATAACTCATTTACATATATACATATATAATAATTGTATCACACAACAAAGTATCCAAAGAAACATTAGCTTTTTATGAAAATATACAGAAACAAGGCAGCACTAAATTGAATTTTTATTCTCAAGAAAAGTCACTGTTTTATAATTATGCATCCTTTTTCTTTCCAAATTACCTTTTTTTTTTTAACCAGGTTATTTACCAAATTTTTAGGCATACACAAAAATTGAAAATCAAATTTCTCTCCAATAACATGGGTACACTAACAGTAATTTCTCACAGTACAAATATTAGAAATTTTTTCATTAAATTTTGCCAGTTCTAATTTTTTGCATAGTTGTAGCACCTAATGCATTTTTTTTCATGTAAATGCAGTATAAAATATGGACATTTCAGAAGGAAAAGCTTCAAGAAACTATAACAGCAAAGGCAAGACATTTAAAAAGTGAAAATAAATAATTCCTAATTAGTTTTGATTACTTCAAACACTTGGCTATGCTTTACAGTTTTTATAAATTATCTTACTCTTTGAGGCAACTTTCAGTCAATCCAGTCATAGTTAGAATAAACGTGTATCAAGGCAGCTTGTCAGTCAGACCCTTCTGCTTCATGCATCTTGAAATATTGATCCTTCAAAGAAAATACAAAGAACTGCTCACTCGACTCTCAAGCAACAACTGCAGGTGATACAGCCGTATTAGCACAACACTGTTCTGGATTTCCACACATAAAGAATCAAAAATTGCTATAAATCAACATTAAAGGCCAAAATTATTTTCTCAGACATACAAATTTGAATTGAGAGAGATGCTGTTGTCCAAGGATTTTTAATTTGACATTAAATTGCCTTACTGCTTATACACCAGAGAAACTGTAATATAACTCAGACCTGACAGTACTCTTTAATCCTTAATATATAATTAAATTTTGGTGGTTTTTCAATTTATCCAGAGACTTAGTACCACTTAAAACTGTGCTTTGTTGTATTCATTTTAATCAAATGTTATTTTAATTGGGTCTGTAAGGACATGTAGAAACTGCTGCACCACAGGGAAGAAACTAATTTTTGATCTTCTGTTCTTAAATCTCTGAAACCAGCCTGGTTTCCAGTCTCACCTTTAACTTCCCTTCCGGCATTATTCCCTAGGGTTCCATAGCTTCAATTCCCAATTCAGAGTTGCTCAAAAGAATAATGTATCTCAAAGCACTTCTGGAAAGCAAGACTTGTGGAAATGGGGATGTCTTACCAAATTTTTGGCATTTTCTATGGGAAGAAGTTGAAGCCTAAAGTAGGGCTCCTTGGAAAAGCTTCATGGAGCCAATGTGTGAGTATACTACAAAGTTGGAGTACCTCCTTTCAAAATGGACAAGCAGTTGTGAATATACTGCACCTCTCCCTCCCTCACCCTCATTTCTCCTAAGCTTCATTCCTTCACAAAGACAGGCAGGGGCTGCCTTTTTTTCCTTCACAAAAGCTTTATGTAAGATAGCCAGGTGCCACCAGACTACTCTCCACACTGCTGAGAGTGTAGCTATCTATGAAGAAGGGAAGACTCATAGAATCATAGAATCAACTGGGTTGGAAAAGACCTACGAGATCATCAAGTCCAATCCTTGATCCAACACCGCCATGGTTACTAGACCATGGCACTAAGTGCCACATCCAGTCTGGCAAATAAAGCCCATCAAGGGAAGAATCAGACTTTGAATAAGAACAGTCTACCTCATAGTGAAAGAGAGGGTTTGAGACATAACTTTTGTTACTGTCAGAACACTAAAATACTAAATTATAAATACTCTCTCACAGAGAGCAGTTACAATAGCTGAGACTGGATTGCAAATCCAGGCAGCAAAATTAGGACAGCCCCTTTCCCAGTTTCCTTGCTTAGCAAGAACTTGACTCAAGCTGTTTCACTCCAATGATTTGGTAAATAGTTCACCAGTTTCTAGTCTAAACAACAGGTTAAATTCATGATTATATTCCACAATTCAGTTAGGTTTAAATTGCCCAGGCAACATTTACCATGAAATTAATATCTTCACTCCCTGTCAGAATCAAATTTAAAGTGGCAAATCAACTTTGATCTCTAAGTGCATGAACACAGTGTTTTTCATTAAAGAGATATTAAAAGCCCTGAGGATGGGGAGGGGATGGGCAGGGTGTGTTAAGGTTTTCTACCTTTTGCGGGTTTGGTTTGTTTGCAGTCAGGGTTTTTTTGTTTTGTTTTGTTGGTTGGTTTTTGGTTTGGTTTGGTTTTGCAGTGGGGATTTTTGTTTGGTTGGGTTTTGTGTTTTGAGGGTTTTTTTGTCATTTGAGTTCCTGGAGCAAACTTTTGCACTATAATTTAAAAGGAATTGGATCAAATTTATGAAAGGGGTTATGTCACATTAGTTACCTGTGCAGCAATCACCAGACAAGAATGACAAAAGAAACCCTTGCAAGCTTCCTTTTCCCAGAGGAAAAAGTAGAAAACAAGCATCAACTTATTTAGGGTTTTTCAGCAGAGCATAGGAATACTTTTCTTATAACCCTGAACAGCAGAAAAGGGAAAGAGTCCACGTCTCACATCTTAAGGTGTTTTGGTTTTCTCACATTTGAAACATGAGTGGAACAGAAAGGGAACAAACCTGTTTGCACCCTTATCATTGTTTTAAAAATGTTACAGGTTTCCACAGTGCATCACTGGGATCTCTGTATTCAATCTCATGTCTCATTTTTCACTTCATCATTCATTCTGTAACAGGAGTTGGTTGCTGTAAAAAATTAATCACCTGGAAATATCTTTCACAAAATCATGGAGGAAGTAAAGATGAAGTAAGATCTTTTCTCAGTCTTCTTTAATCTTGATAATGAGTTCCCAGCATTAGGCTAGGTGCAACAAATTAAATGCATTTTGACATATAATGCTTGCTGCTGGGTAGTTGCCAGGTAAGATAATAAATTTCTGCTTAATTAAACCACATTCCTTTTTTTTTTCCACAAGGGCTGATAATCTAATGGTTATTTGCAACATTGCCTGATGTATTCACATCAGTATATGCTGGGAAAAGTACGATATACCTTTTGATTAATGTAAAAAACCAGAATTTCCAGACATAAAGCCAACAGTTGGCATGACAGAGAATCCTGAACTTCAAACATATGCTTTCTCACATGTTTAATCAGAGGAAGTTTACCTAAGTCACTGCACTGGTTTAGAAGAGATATTGCATGTCATGGGGAAAACAGAAAGAGGAAGGAAAGACTTGAAGGTTTAAAAAGGACAGAAGTACAGTTAAAATACTTTTTAAACAAAACTCAACCACTTTAATGTATTTGAGTCAAGACACCTGCACCAAAAAAAAGCCTCCAGTAAAATCTGAGCTGAGGAAACAAATACAATTAAACCTGAACTAACTTGACTGCTGTGTAGAAATGGACTTAGCTATAGAATTGTTTTTGCTACTATAAAAGCATTAAGGGCCAGGTTAGAAAAGTAGTTTCCCCCCAAAGTACTTTATTAGAACGTACTATTCAGTACTTAATCTTCCATATATCCTACATAACTGCAGGTATAAAAAAAAGGACATTTGCAGAGACTAGAATGATGACTTTTTTTCTTTGGCTTGCTGGGCAGAGCCCCAGAATTATGCAGCAAACTAATTTCTACAAATTAAAATAGAACCTGTTGGGGGTGGTGGTGTCTGTATGAAAAGGTGGAATTAGGGTTCTGCATTCACTGGTTATACTCCCTTTTTTTTTTCTTGCAAGAACAGACCACAGAGTTCTCTCCAGCATTTCCTTTTACTTAAATGAAAATGTTGGTACTTATATTTAATGGTGAGTTTTTACACTAGGTTTGCTCTGTTCTAAAGACAAGTAGTTGTCAGGAAGAGGTCCTGAGCTCTTCTGTTCCTCGCTACAAGTTCCTGCCCTCTTTCCTCACATGTAAGAATTGTAGCAAGCCCAGTGAGCTACATCACTTCATTGATCCAAGAGAAAACAAACCGCTGCAAAAAAGGATTAGGTTCTGACATGACAGAGATTTCCCCAAAGGAACTCTCTCTTTTGGATGACAGCCAGATACTAAACAAAGCATCATATGAAACTGTACTCACAGCTTAAGTCTTCAAGGATCTGAGTGAGGTGAATGTAATACTGAAGTACTGACATCAGTCTAAGTTGACTCTGTTCCTCCCTACTTCAGCACTGGTGAGGAAACCTCTGCAAAGCCAGGGAAATTTATTTCAGAAGTAGAGTCAAACGTCTGAAAATAGGTATTTATGCAATTTATGCACTGTTGTTTTTCTAAAAACAATAATTTAAAAAAATCAAATAAAGATCCTAGTATCTCTGACTTACTCCTTTTAACTCTGAACGGTGAGTCCACAGCATTAATTATGATTTTTCAAATCACTACCAACTACATAAAGGTTAAAATATGTTCCTCAAAGACAGCCTCCCAAATAGGCTTTCTTTTCACCTACTTTGCAATTAAAAAGAAATTCTTAGAATTGCAAACTTACTGCTTTTTCCCAAGGAACTCTGTTAGTCTTCAAATTTATACTTGGCTTTTTCATTCAGAGTAATCAGCTGTCCGGTATTTTGAACAGCTGATTATTTTGAATGACTTTTATTCAGACATTCTTTTCTATGACCTTCAGAAAGGACAGAGTTTCTTCATGTCTCTGTGATTACCAGTTGCACTTTCTTTTTAAGCTACTTTTCACTACAGCATCTCATTTCCTGACTTTAACAGTATCTTACGCCATTCAGTCATTTAATGCTTATAATTATGGAAAAACAAGAGCTACATTTTATTTTGAGATAACTTGCTAGAATCCTTGTCTCATGTTCAGCAACTTCAAAATACACAGTCTTTAACATTTTTTCACATGTTCAGGACAAGAGATTGGATAAAGCATGACATAGGATTAGCCTGTAAGCAGTTGGCTATCAAGAGGCTAACTTAACAATGGGAAAGGGATGCTAAATTCTCCCTACCTACCAGACAGTTAATTAAGTGCAGAATAGGTTTTGATAGCTTCAGATCATGTAAGTAATAATTTATAATTTATCTACTTAATCTCATACTTCGTCTTGTCTTTTAATTCCTCCTGCCTTCTTTCATGATCAGCAAGAGAGATGTGGCTTTAACATTCAAAGGCTTTGGTACTGTTCCTCTCTTTGCTTCATGAAAGGAAACTCTTTGGATATATCCCATTTCCCTCTGGATGGTAACATTTCAGGTATAAATACATTCAACTATAGGATGCTGTAAGCAAACAATCCTACAGTCCTCCTACCATTAGAAATCCCGCACTAAAATTTGTACCTAACAGAAAACTGACTCCAGATGTTGCAATCCAGCTAACAAGAACACTAATTCAAACTGCATTCTGCTTTACTTATGACACTCCACAGGCAGGGAATTGCACTAACCTCAGTGGAATCTCTTCTAACACACATAGGCAAGAAGAGAACAGAATGAGGTCTCCTGCGCTCACACGCTTCTTGTCACATGTCTGTATCACAAGAGCACAGCAGTCTGTATAGTCACACTGACTCTTCTCTCACCATGTCTCAGACACATTTCACAAGATGATAGATGCATTCATAAAGCTCACTGCACATTTTTATTACAAAACACGTCATTGACATTTTATTTTCCTATCTTCATGATTCAAAACATGTCCT